CTTTTTGAGGATGAGTTGATGATAGAACCCTGGCGTGTCAGAGCTGCAAGACCCTTCTAGAAATCACTCCCTCACTAACACAGGGCTGATTGGGACGCAGAGCAAGAAAGGAATTCACCCAACGTTACTCAGGAAATGAGTGGGTGAGGCAGACTAGAATGCAGATGTTGTCCCATAAAGATTTCACCCCTGCCTGTTGGAGACCCTGAATCTTTGTCTGCATGAATGATTTTCATGGTGTATGGAAGTCTCCATGGACTGACACATGTTTACCTGGTGGAGAACAGGTCACCTGCAGCCACCATCTAGAGCCCACAGACAGTGGGAAATGTTACCTCCCAGGGAAGGTCAGCATCTGTACAGGCTCCTCTCCTTGAGCAGGGCATCCAAAGCCCAGGAAAGGGAGAGTGCCAAGGCCATCTCACTCTGGTTGGCTTGAGAGGACTTGGTGAGTCCCAGGGCCTCACCTGGAACCCTCAGATTCCTCCTGTCCTTCCAGCTCCCTTGAGTCTGGCGCAGCAAGTCCAATTACAGGCTGAAACTCCCAGATCCAGGCCCGCCAGACCCAGGAGATACCTTGTTCAGGTTTGGTTTAACCTCAGAGGTTCTTCTTCTCCCCTCCCAGGTGCCCCAAGACGCAGTAGGAGGACAGCTGCTCTCCGACCTCTTTACCAACAGAAAGGAGGACATTACTATCAAGTTGTCCGAAGACTGTCTTTATCTGATATTTACACTCCTGCTGACTGAGGAAGAACAGCAGGCTGCCGTAAGCGTGGGAACCCCTGGCCCAGACGTGCTGGTTCCACTACCACGGGGTCGTCGGGTCTTCTGGTGCAGATGGGTGAAGCACAGGCCAGGACTGCTCAGGGACACAGGGCTCCACAGGAAACACAAGTTTCCACATGTCAGTCCCCTAGTGACATGGAACCACTGGAGGGTTTAGCTAATCTGTAACTGCACGTCTTCTTTCCCAAGATCTTCTCATGCTAACTGAAGGGTGGCAGTGGTTGCTCTTAGTTTGTAGTTTAAGAATCTGTACTCAGAGCAGTTTTGACAATGATTTTCTAGTGTTCAGCGCTGAAGGGGTGGGGTCTTAAAGAAAAGCCAATAACCTAGCTCTTCCATTACACATAGAGAAACTGAGGCCCCGATTTGAGAATGTGGAGGTTGTGCAGTAGGGCTGGCTGGACCAGAGCTGAGGTCTTTTGATCTTCAAACCAGTGTTCCTCGGCATGGAATAGGACACTGAGCATGTGTGTGGCCTTTCCCCAGCACACCAAGGTCCACCTGTGACAACTTTCACTGTCTTATTACCAAGGTGTTGGGTGGAGGGTATCTTTGTCCAATTCTCTTGGATTATATTGTAGCTGATTTTCCTCCCTAATAATCTTTGGCACAGGCTGGTGACTCAGTGAGTCAGCATTTCCCAAATAAGTGAAGGGCCAGAGATGGGCAGGCTGCCAGCTGCAGGCTAGATGGTGGGGGAGGGGAGGTTTTGCTGGAAAAGGAGGCTGCCTAGGGTGGACAGGGGAGGGTGTTAGCACCCTGTCAGAGTCCCAGGAGCACCCTGGCACGGTGCCGGGAGTGGGGGAGGAGGTCTGTGAACTTGGGACTAGATGTTGGCCCCACATGTGCTTTGTAAGGCTCAAGGAAGTGGGAACAAAGGTTCACTTACTCCCTCATTCATTCATTTTTCTAGTTTGTACTCAGTGCCCCCTACCCAAGGTTAGACTTGGGGGATGGGGAAGGAGGAACATGAAACCACTTCCACACAGCCCCACCCTCAGAGATCCTGCGCTCGGGCTGCACAGACACAGGCTGACTTGAGCATGACTTGAAGCCCAGCCCGTGGGCTCAGCCATCACTCAAAGATGACAGTAACCTCAGCCCCCCCCTCCGCCCCCCGCCAGGAGGGAGGCAGGGAACATACAAACAGGGGCTCTGGGAGTTGCAGACAGAAGAACCTCTAGTACGAACACGGGTTCCAGAACTGCAGGGTCTGGGTTTGAATCCTGCTTCTGCTTTGACTAGCTGAGAGATGTGAACGATTTCTTAACTTCTCTAATCCTCTGTTTCCTGGAAATGGGAGGCATCAGGTGTGAGTGCTCCGTGCTCACTGCCCAGCTTTTTCTCCGCCCCTGGCTAACCATGAAAAGCAAGGGCTTGTTAAACCTCAGAGTGGAAGGTTGATCTTACCCCACCTGACAGCAGACGTGCCTCGCTGTGACCACTGGCTGCAGTGTGCTGGGCAGCTCAGCACCTGGACATGGAACCAACTGCGGGGGTCCCAGTCCTGCTTCTACCACTGGGCTGTGTGACCTTGGGCAGGTTAGGTGCCTCAGTTTTCCAATCTGTCAAACAGTACAATGTTGGTATCTACCTCATGGATGGTTTATTTTAAAGTGCTTAGAACTTGGTGCACAGTACATATTATAAGTTCTTTCTCTTTTTTATTACCAATGTTATTACAGTGTAATCATTTTAGCCCCTTCCGCTGCCTCCCTGTTACATGAGCTCTTTAAATGTGAAACCATGAATTGTGAATCATGTCCACTCTTGTCCTGAGTTCCTATCACAGTCCCCAGCACATAGTAGGTGCCCAGGTAATGTTGGTCAAGTGATCGAAGGCTTCCTGGAGTGGGTGAATTAAAGGCTGGGCTTTGCAGGCTGGGTGGATTTGGGGAGGCAGAGGAGGCAGGAAGGAGGCATATAAGGAAGAGATACCATCATGGCATGTGTGCTTTTTGAGACAGTCACTTGTGCACAGGGAAGTGTAATTCACAACCAAACACATAACTGGGAGGCAGCTGCAATGCGAGCGCTGCTATGTGTCCACGCAGAGCTGGCACAAGGTCCAGCATGAGGGTGACTGGAGTGTCGGGGAGAACAGGGCACCCTTAGCCTTTGCTATTATTCCCATGGTGACGTGCTCCATTTCAATAGCCTCAGGGGGTGGGAGGTGGCACTGGGGCTGGGGAGAAAGGCAGGGGCAGCCAGGGTACATCAGGTGGGGTAGTGGCCTGGGGCGTAGCTCAGAGGGTCAGGGAGCAGAGACACTGCCTTTGGAAGCTTGCTGGGCACTGGCAGACTTAGAATAATGGCCTGCTTGACTCATGGTCATTTCCAAGAGGCAGGTGATGAAACCAGGCAACCACTGAGTCCTTCCCAGCTCTGCTTCCTATAACCAGTGTGGCTGTCCCTCCCTGTCCAGGTGATGGTGTGGATCCATGGAGGTGGTCTCATGGTGGGCGGGGCCTCAACCTATGATGGCCTGGCCCTCTCTGCCCATGAGAACGTGGTGGTGGTGACCATTCAGTACCGTCTGGGCATCTGGGGATTCTTCAGGTGAGTTTCTGGGCTCTCCTCCCTGCAGTCAGGTCCCAAAGTGAGGGTACTAGGACCCAGGTCCGGTCGTGTCAGCCCTCAGGAGACCTTTGCTAAGTCCCTTATAAAAGGCATCCCAGTCTCTTCATAACTGGACCCCCTTACCTTCTCATAACCCAGCCACACTTGTTCACTTGCTCCTGAGCTTTTGCATGTGCTCTTCCCTCTGCATGGAATGCTTACTCTACCTGGTAAACTCCTATTCATCCTGCAGGACCCAGCCCACATGTGGCCTCTTCTGAAGTACTCATCTCCTTTTCCCTGTGCTGCCCCCGCACGTTCCACATTCCTCTATGAAGCCATTAGATGCAGCGCAGCGGTGAAAGGTTCACACATCTTCTTCCTTCTCCTGACAGTGAAGAGAGAGACAGACTGGCAGAGGGTGCTCAGCAAATGCTTGTGGGGGAAGGCATGGGTGGCTGGAGACGGGAGGTCGTCAGGGCATCTGAGCCCAGGGAGCCACCCTCCCTGGAGGAGTGTCGGGGTGCACTCACCCCATATCTTGCTAGAAATCTGGCACATGCAGCAGTCAAGACTAGAGACTTCTTGTGGGGATAGGAAGCAGGTTTCCTTCCGGGCACATAACCGTGAGCCTTTTCTCAGTGCACCTGACCCAGAACATCTGACGGGTGGGTGGGGAGGACCCGCTCACTCCTGGGAAGAACCAGGGAGCAGGAGGACAGGCTCTGTCGGGCCTGCCAGAGGGTGTCCCGGGCCAGTCACTGAGGTTTCGCCTTCCTCGAGACTCCACATCCCTGTCACCCACGGCCCTCGTCCCTGCTGCCCGTTACTGGAAAACTGCTCCGTGTCCTGTCTGTGTTCCCCTCCCCCTGTCTGTCCTCTACTCACGCCAGCCAGTTTCCCCTGACCACGCCGCCAGGCTGTTCCCGTCATGGTCACCCATGACCTCACCTGTCCTCGGCCCAGCCTTCCCTGAGCTCTCAGCCCCAGCTACACAGGGCCACTGACACCTCCGTGACAGGCTCCCTGCCCTTGGTGCCTCATCCCACCCCACAGGCTGCTGCTTCTCAGCCCGCAGGTGGGTCCCTCCACGCACCTGTCCTTGGGACTCTGTGTGTCTCCCTCCCTCCCTCTCCAGTAGTTCCCAGTGATCCCCAGGGCACTGAGAGCCCGTGGTTTGGCCTCCTGTCCTTTAATCCCAGACGCCATCACTCGCTGCCTCCTCTGTCCCCCGGGCTGCCTGAGGCCCCTCGCTCTTCTCATGGACACACTGAGCCACGACTCCCACGCCCTCCCCAAGCAGAGACACCCTCTTGTCCCAGCGCCCCCGCTCAGCTGCCAGAGGCTCCGTCCTCCCAGTTGCCCGGGACACAGGCCTCGAGGGCAGCCTGGACCCTTCTCTCTCCCCACACCCTGCGCGCAGGCGGCTGCCGATGCTCCCGCCTCCACCTATGAGATGTGCTCAGAGTCCCGCTGCTTCTCACCCTCCCCTGCTTCACCCTGGTCAGCCTGCCTGGCTCTGGCCTGGATTGTCATCATGGCCACTCACTGTGTCACTCTGCGACTTCTGTGCTGCAGCTGATCCACATGCAGCCAGAGAGATCAGATAAGGCAGAGAGTGAGTCACGTCATTCCTCTGCACAGACCTGCACTGGCTACCACGTCACCTGGGATGACATGCAACACGCTTCCCCAGGCCACAGAGCCCTCCACTGCTGCCCCTGCTACGTGCACACTGTGCTCGCTGGGCCCCAGGGCCTTTGCACTTGCTGTTTCTTCTCCTGGAATCATCTTCTTTGGATATTGGCAAGGCTCACGTGATCATTTAATTCAGGCTCCTCCTCAAATGTCACAGCATCCGAGAGGCCTTCCCTGCTTATGTGATCTGAAGTAGCACCCATTGCCCACCCCTGCCTTTCCCCTCAACCCATTTTATGTTTCCTCAAAGCGCTTTCACTGCCTGGTATTTTATTCTCTGTTTATCTGTTTGTTTGTGGTCTGTACTATGAGTTCAGTGTGAAAAAATTTCCCTGATTTGTTCTCAGATGTGCTCTAGATCCTAGGACAGAATTGGGCACATAGTAGATGCTCAGTAAATTGTGTCGAGATGAGTGAATGTGGAGCCCTACAACGGCACATGCTGGCAATGGCAGGCAGGGGAAGACCCTGTGTCAGGGGTGTGGAAGCCCAGCCTATTCTGGAAGGATCATTGAGAGCCCCAGCCCTGTCTCTAGTCACAAGACCCCTGCCATGGCATCTGTACTGACCACCTCAACTTGTTGTCTTACAGCACAGGGGACGAACACAGCCGGGGGAACTGGGGTCACTTGGACCAGGTGGCCGCTCTGCGCTGGGTCCAGGACAACATCGCCAACTTTGGAGGGAACCCAGGCTCTGTGACCATCTTTGGAGAGTCAGCAGGAAGCGAAAGTGTCTCTGTCCTTGTAAGTGTTCTTGGCATCAGGCCCCACCCCCAGGCTGATGTGGCCACTGATGGGAACTCTTGGAGACCAGCCCACCCAGCCCCAGGCGCCTTTGCTTACATGGCTGGATTGGGGACAGACCCTCCTCCTTGCCCAGCATCAGGCAGTGGAGAGCTAATGTACAAACTCTCCTTGGCTCCCAGGAAGCTCAGAGCTCAGCTTTATGTCCTGGGCCACTAGAATCTCTGGCCCCAGCCTGCACTGGCCACAGTCCTCCTCTGGCAGCTATGCTGAGCTCGCTCTCTCCTTCCTCCTTATTTTAACACCAGGATTCAGCTCACCTCCCCTCTGCAGTAGGGGTGGGTATAAATTACACACATGTGGAGACAAGCACACGAGTTGAACAGAAGTCATTGTTTGGCTTGAAGCCAGATCTGCGTGTCCAGGGGACATGAGCACTGAGATCAGGCAAGAACCTCCTCTGAGGTGGTCTGATGGCCCCCCACACCCAAGAGGGAGGCAGCCATGTCTAGATGAGGGACCAGGTGGCCCGGGGGAGGACACGAGGACACTAGGAGGATGGAGCACAGGACAGGGAGGGAGGGGACAGGGGATGTGGGGCACAGACACAGCCTGGGGGTGTGAGATGTCCTGCCTACATGAGGAATGGGGCTGGAGTGGTACTGAGGGCAGCTGGGATGGGAAACCCGGTTGGAAGGTGCTGGGAGCTGTGAGGAACCTCCAGTTGCCTCGGAGTTGAGCGGAGGGTCATCCCATTACTGTGTTTTTCAATCATGTGTTGATTTCCTACTTGAACAGAGAGAAGATATTGCTTGTATTTTTTTTTTTTTTAATTAGAGATAAAGGAAAAGTACAGATCAGCCCTGTAGACAAAAAATGTATCTGCAGTCTGCCTCCCCAGGGTCCTCACTGTGGACTTTTGTATTTTTCTAGTCTTTTTTTCATGACTCACTCTGTCTCTCTCATATCATGTTTTTCTTCTACCAATAAACTTTTCTTAATTAACATAAGGGATGGTAATTAACATAAATGGAAGTATAATACAGTATAACATTATAATATCTTTTATAATTGGATAGTATTCCATGGTAGGAATTAAAAATTGTTTATTTACCCAATCTCATGATATTGGAACCTTGGGTTCTGCCTAATTTTTGCTATTATAACCAGCATGGGCACCCTAAGAAGTCTTTGTGTGCCTCCCTGGTCACTTTTCTTCTGAGTAGTAGAAAAGCTGAACCAGGCTGGGCAGCAGGGCATTGCCAAGCTGTCTTTCTGGTGCTTTGACTGCTGTGATCTGTGCAGGCCACACTCTCCTGTTCCATCCCTGGCTCTGTGCTCTGGCTCCATCCATCCCGCTGAGATTCTCTGGGGGAGGCAGGGCCCAGGGTGAGGCTGGGAAATAGGCCAAACCAGGTCAGGAGCCCTCCTGCCCTTTGAGGCCCACGGTCTGGGAACCTGGCCAGGATAGAGCTGTGGGTGGACCCTAGCCTGAGCATGAACTCTCCTCCTGTCCTTTCCCCTCCCAGGTTTTATCTCCTCTGGCCAAGAACCTCTTCCACCGGGCCATTTCTCAGAGTTGTGTGGCCATCAGTCATGCTCTGGTCCTCAAGGGTGACGCCAAGCCCCTGGCAGAGGTAAGTGTCTCACAGGACGCTCCCACACCCTTGGCTCTGCACTCTTGGCGTCCTCAAGGGTCGTTCCTGCTATGGGATTCAGTGGACAATCTCCAAGAATCCCTGAAGTGAGACTGGCTGAGCAGGAAAGTCAGGGAGACACCTTGCAAAACCTCCCAAGTATATAGCCAAGCACACTGGGACAGAATGTGGAGGCGACATGCTAAGGTCCACATGGATTCAGTGCAAAGCTCCGACTTGAAGCTTGTGACTTGGACTGCCAGTGTAGGCACCGCCCATGGCCACACACCTCAGAGGTTATCAGGAAAGGCTTCTTTAAGAAGAGATCAATAAGCAGTGTCAGAAAGCTGAGCAATAGTTTACTTGCCGAGCAATGAGTATTCCAGGGAGAGGACGCAGCATGTGCGAATGTCCTGTGGCTGGAGAAGCATCTTGAGAGTGAGAGAAGGCTGGTGTGGCCAGAGCAGAGAGCAGGGGGAGCTTGGGGTGCGCTGAGGGTGGGGACCTTGGCAGGGGCCTTGCTACTCAGGACCCTGGGGAGGATTTGTATTTATCTGAAGAGCTGGGAAGAGGAGAAGGCATGACCACACAGTGGCGGTACTGAGCAGGGCCTACTGAAGCCAGAGGGATGCAGGGTCTGGGTGGGGCTGTGGCAGCTGGTTTGGGGCAGCTCAGACTTCAGGGGCTGATTAGGAGGTGGGGAGGAAATGGAGAGCCAAGCATTTGTTTTAGAATTTTTGAGAATTTTTTCAGAATCCATTGGTTATAAGTAACAGGTGGCACAGGGTTGAGTTAAGAAGGGGAATATATTTTCAAGGAAGCAGAGGCGGCAGGGGTGAGGCTGGGCTTTGTGAACAAACAGGAGCTAGAAATTGCAAAGTGAAAGGAGTCCAGGTCTCTCCGACTCTTGGTTTTCTCTCCCCGTCTCCCTCCCTCTTCACCCCTTGTCCCTCCTCCTGTTGGTTTATTCATCAAGTGAGTTCTGAGCAGGGACTCTGCAGCAGACACTGTCCAGGCTCTGGGACCCTGCGCACTCCCCGCGGCCCTGCCACCATGGCGCCTGTCTTGGGTCCATCTGTGCCTTCCTCTCTGGCCGAGCTTTGCTGTCAGTTCCTGTGACCAGCCCCCCTGGCCCTGGGCTTGGGGACTTCCCTGAAGTTCTAGAAAGGTTTTTCCCTGTTTTGGAAAATGCTCATGTCTATACTCACAGCTCTCCACCCATCCCAGGACATTTAGGAGAGAAGCTCAGGGCCCTGGCTTTGCTAAGATGCCCCCTTTGGTGCATCAAACGCAGCCTCTCAGAAAAGCCCAGGTGCAGGTGTGCGAGGCAGACCTTCCCCGGTGCCCAAGACAGGCTCAGGGGTCCTCTCCTCCAGGAGGGTTTTCTTCATATTTTTATTAAGATGAGAAGGGGTTCTAGGTTGGGGTCAGCCTTCTCCATGCATTAATCGGTACTTATCAATGGCTTGCCTTAGTACAAGGGAGGACAAATATGGGCCTATGTTTGTATGGCCCTTTTGCTAAGAATGATTTTGTTTTCATTTTTAAGCAATTGAAAAAAAAGAAAAGTATAATATTTCATGACCTGTAAAAAATGGTATGAAATTCACATTCAAGTGTCCATAGATAAAATTCTGTTGCAACACAGCAATGCCCATTTATTTCACTACAGCAGAGTTTAGAAATTGCAACACAGAACACATGGCCCACAAAAGCGCAAATATGTACTGTTTGTCCCTTTGCTGACAATGTCTGCCCCCTGGACTGGACATTCACGTGTGGTTGTTGCTTAGGACTCTAGCACGTGACTGCACAGGTGGAAACTCTTAGCTGTGCCGTAGACGCCTCACTCGCTGAGAAGCTCCATCCACGCCTCAGGACAGACACGCGCTGTTTTCCTTTAGGGCTCCTGTTTCACTCACATTCCATACTTCCTGAAGTTCTTTGATGTGAATCACCTTATCTGGGCCTCTTGCGTTTTTGCTTTTTTTTTTTTTTTGGGGGCTCTGTTGGCTTCTTTTTTTTTTCCCTTCCTTTGGTTGTTGGGTTGGTTGGGTTCTTTTTGCCCCCTTAGGGTTGGGGAACCCGGGCCCCAAGAACTCAAGTGGTTTTCTGAGGCCAGATGGCCACTATGTGCAGGAACTGGGCTTGGAAACCAGACAGTGGAATTGAGGCTGCATGCTCTTACACCCCCCTCCACACTACCAGCTCTCTTGAGACATCCAGCTTTGAGGTCATTATGCCCATTTTAACAGAGGGAGTATGTGCTTACCACTCACGTCACAGTTCAGATTAGGCACAGAGGCAGCACTCTGTGGGCCCCAGAACCCACACGTCTGGTCTAGAGTACTTTCTGCTCCCCCTGCTGCCTCAGAAACAGGGCTGGGGACAGAACACCTCTTTCTACCTTGATGGAGGGAAGGGACATTGCTCTTGAGCTCTTGTTACCTGTGATCTTTGCAGAAAGTTGCTGTCGCTGCTGGGTGTAAAACCACCACCTCGGCTGTCATGGTTCACTGCCTGCGCCAGAAGACAGAGGAGGAGCTCTTCGATTTGACACTGAAAATGGTACGTGCTCGTGGGTCCATTCTAATGCCCCCAGCCTGTAGTTATGGACCCAGGCTTCATCATTTTAGCTGTCCTCTTGCGCTAGAAAAACTCCCTGGGACAATTTCTAACCTCTCTGGAAACCTCTGGGTCTCAATGGAGAATTTCATTTTTCCTTTTTTATTGTAATCAATGTCAAAAGAAACCAAAAATAATATGATAAAAAATGGTGTAATAATCCTCCAGCATTATCAGAACTTAATGTTTGGCCATTCTTGTTTTCAGCCATATTTATAAGACACTAAACATTACCTATTCCCAGGGGTAGCCACCAGCCTGAATTTGGGGGATGGGGACATTAAGCACAAAGATTTCAGAAAGATGTCACAACTTATCTTAGTTGATTTAGAAACTCTCTAAACTATAGCCCAGTGATGTACCAATTTTCTAGATTATCTGAAACTCTGCCCCAATTGTGAATCTAGGATAGCCATCCATCCACCCATTCATTCATCTACCATCTTATTATCCATCTATTCACCCACTAATCCATCCATTTTACTGATATCCTTTTATCAGTGTAATATCAACCCATCCATGACTATTCACTCATCTATTTCCAACTCATCCGTCACCTATGCATCATCCAGCCACATTATATCCTCAGTCCATCATCCATTCCTCCAAAATCAATGGTCAATCCATCACTTACCTCGCATTACCATCCATCCACCCACCCATCCATCCATGTATCTATGCAATTCATCCATACTCCATGTATTGACCAACCCGTTCATCCATCCATCCATTCGTCCATCTGTCCATCCACCCATCTGTCCATCTGACCGTCGATCCACCCATCTGTGTGAACATCTATACATCCATCCATCCATCCATTCATGCTAAGTGTATGGAGTGGGGTGTCAGGGGAGGTGATGGAGACAAGAATTGGACATTGTCTTTCCTCACAAGGAACTACCCAAGGAGAAACACACACCTGTTTGTAGGGGGTTGAATATGGTGAGAGTACAGAGACAGGAAATATTCCTTATAGTCCTCAGGGATGCTTTACAGAGAAGGTGACATATGAGGATTGAAGAATGGCTGTGGCAGTCTGTCATCACAGGCAAGCCCAGTAGACAAACACCCGGGGAATACAGCATCTAGAGCCAATGGGAAATATTTCCTTTGTGGGAGAAGGATGTGAATTGTGAGCTTAGAGAGTCTGAGGCCTGGACTCCCTACCTGGACCCTGGCACCTGAGGATACTCCTGGACCCCCAGGGCATGTCTCTAGCACAGGGCTCTGCCTGCATTGCCATGGGTTGAGTCCACTGTGGCCTTGGGACTTGTGTCCTGGTTCATCTGGCTGTGCTGAGGTGATCCAAGTGTTCAAAGAATTAAAACACAGCCGTTTCATAATGCCTGAAAAGAGGCCAATATTTCAGCAATTCTCCAGTTGCACAAGAGGATCCAGCTTATAAGGGAAGAGTTGATATGTAGGAAAACCCAGACCAAAGAAACTAGGACATGCTTCTGATATTTTCTGAGACCTTATGGAAGTGTTTCTGTGATTATCCACAGCCTCTAATACACAGTCTGACAAACACACACACACACACACACACACACACACATTCTTGGATGTTAATAATGGAGGAACCCTTACTGGCCACTTCCTGCTCTATTGGTTAGCTATAGGGCAGCATTACAATCACTGCAAAGAGAAGCATCGACTAGGATGAGTTTTGGGGAGCTTGTTTGAGTCAGGACTTTCCAGTGCAAGATGAGAAAACTCATCTCAAGTTGCCTTGAGCAGAAAAAGAAATCTGTGCTGTGTCAGAATCTTCAGGTAATGCAAAAGTCCAGCATTAGATGGCTTCAGGTATGGCTGGATCCAGATATTCATAGGATATTACTGGGAATCTACCTGTCTCTATCCCTCCGTTGTGTGCTCCACTATGTTGGCTTCACTCTCAGGCAGATTGTCCCCTGGGAAGGCCAGAGACAACAGCACTCTGACCTTTTATCTTATCTGCGTAGAAACCCTCTTTCCCAATAATTCTAGCAAAAGTTTTGAGGTACACTCTGTTGGAATGATATGGAGTGCCCATCCCTGAAATAATATCAGTGTTTAGGATGATGAAACTCCCTGGGTTGCATATAGATACCTGAATTTATGGAGTGAGTGAGGGGAAGAGGGAGGTGCCCCAAAGGGAAATTGGGAGCAAGAAGGGGAAATGGGTGGTGGACAGGGCAGGCACCAACAGCAGATGGCCTCTCCAGAGCTCCAGCCACCCTGGCCAGGGTCCCAGGGGCCTGTCCTTCCCTTGCTGGTGCCCAACCCTCCCCCACTGACACTTAAACCCTGTGCTCATGCCTGTGGAGCCGGTGTCCTGCCCACTTCCTCTCCCGCCTGCCAGGGTGGCACCAGGAGGGAGAACCTGACACCTCTGCTGCGCAGCCACAGAGATCAGCTTTCTCCCGGGAAGCTTCTCACCACATCTCTGCCTTTGTCTTCACAGAACTTTTTTGTGATTGATTTAGTTGGAGACCCCAGAGAGGTAAGGACCTTTGGTTTCTTGATTATACGTTTTGAGTCTTAACATCTTTAAGCTCCATTTAACTCTGAATGAACAAATTCTCCCTTGTGGAAACCCCGTAACTCCTCATTTGTATGGTACTGAGGCCCAGAGAGGGGCAGTGACTTGCCTGGGGTAACACAGCTAGAGGACCAGAGGGGGGACTGGAACCCACTACCCAGACTCATAGTCCAGTGCCCCCAGGAATCAAGTCAGAGTCCCTGGGCTCACCGCCCCCCCATTTGTATTCACATTTCCTCTGCCCAACATGGCCCTGAGAGGAGGCTTAACCGGAGTCTCCCACTGTGAGGGTCAGAGGTCACAAGAGCCTTCCCTGAGGGGTGCAGATCCCCTGGGAGGCCACAGGTTCATCTATACAGGGGGAGCCTGGAATCTCTGGCCAGAGGATCCCTCTCCTCCAGCACCTGGGACACCCCCATAATATCCTCCAAATCTTCTCCTGCTGTCCCCCCAACAAGTTACCAGAGTCTGGTGACATCACCTGTGCAGCATCTTACAATCCTGCCTTCTCTGTACCCGCTCCACCCCCGGAGATCACAGCATTTTCCCCTTCACAAGTCTTGTGAGGACTGAATGAGAGTCACGCAGCCAGTCAGCTCAGGCTTTACAAGCACTGTCCATGTGCCAGGACCTGACTGGAGAGCTGGAGACATAGCAGTGAAACACACAAGGTTCCTGCCCATTAGAGTTGTCCATTCTAGTGGGAGGGTGTACAAAATAGGTAGTGAGTTGAAGATGGGCGGCGTTCACCAGTGGTTGGAACTCACGTGGCAGGGTCAGGGAAGGGCTGAATGAGAAGGTGGCATCTGACCAGGCTCAGAGGAGGGGAAGGCAGCTGTCAGGGAAAGTGGAGGAGCCGTCCAGGCAGAGGGACGGCTGCTGTGCTGGTCCTCGCTGAGGCAGGAGGTGGGTCTGCAGGGCTGGAGAGGAAGGAGTCAGGGCACAGACGGGCTGGGGGCTAAAGAGATCATGGGAGGTGGGGGGTAGGGGCGGGGGTGGGCACTTGAAGGACTTGGATTTGGAGTGAGATGGGAAGGCTTTGGAGGGTTTTGAACACAGGAGAGACATGATCTTGGGTTTTACAAAGGTCCCTGTCTGCTGTGTTGAAAATAGACTGTCTGGAAGGTCCTGGAAGGTGCAGAGAGACCAGCTGTGAGGCCGTTGTGCTGGACTATCCAGACCAGGGGTCCTGGTGGCTGAGACGAGGCCACAGCAGTGGGGTGGGGGGCTACTGAGGTCTGGACAACAGGAAGGACTGGCTGACAGGAGGTGCTAACGGACAGCACGTGGGGGGCGAGAAAGATGGGAGTGAAGGATGCCCCGAGCTCCCTACCCAAGCAAGGTCATACACGTGGCCCACACAGGTCACCACGTGCAGCCACTGACAGGACAGTGGCAATTACTGTCACGGTGACTGCTGCTGATGTCTGTCTTCCCCCTGTGGGTGCTGCACCTCTCGGGACTTCGTTGTCTCTCTCCTGGACTTCATTGTCTTCTACCCCAACTTTCCTTCCAGTAGGAAGTCCCATGGTGTTGCCAGACTTACCCTCCTAAAAACACTAGCACGTGTCTCCCGTACTTCTTAAAAGCCTGACCTTCCTGACGAGAGCTGCCCTCCTACCCCATGGAGTTAGTCCTTCGACCGAGGAAGGACTAAGGAACAGGAAACCGAGCTGAGAGCCTGCTGTGTGCTGCACATAGTGCAGAAAGTGAGCTCCGCCATCTGACCCTCTCTCTGGTCCCTGCTCTGCAGCCATCCCTGCAAGCCCAGGACTCACTGCAGTTCCTGGTATTTGCCCTGCACAGTGACACCTCTGTCCCTTTTCTTTCTTTCCCTTAACTCATGGACTTGCCACTGTTTGGAGATTCTCACCCTTGCCCTCACCTCTCATTCTCATTCATTGCCCAAAGCCCACCGCAGGTGGTGAGTGCCTCCTCCAGTGTGGCCTGCTTTGTTCCGTCCTTCCAGACACGGTGCTCCCTTGCCAGCTTCCCACTGCAGGGAACTGCACAGTCTTTCCAGGCAGCCATAGTCACACCCGATCCTGTTCTCTATAATCAAACATACTGGATTAGGATTTTGCCTTGTCCTGCTTGGTTGAGTTCTCCATACAGACCCCACTTGTCACCAGCCACAACTGGCTGCCACTCTTTGCTTTGTGCAGAACAGACACAGGCCCTGGAAACCACAGTGTCTCAAATGGATCTAATGAGCCAACACTCTGTCTTCTTGTATTTCCTCTAATACGACCAAGTGTCCTTTTCACAGTCCATTTAGTGCCGTCTTGTTTGCATTTTGTGCTCTGTGTTGGTTAGAGATCTCACTGTTTCAGTGTCCCCAAGGGAACGGCCGCAGCGCTGTCCGTGTTCCTAAGCTCAGGGACGCTGTGATGTGCATGACGGGGAAATGCACGTGTCAGCCGAGCTTTGCTGAGCAGCGAGTCGTAGTGCTGTGGCCGTGAGTTCAGATCGATGAATGAACAGCACAGCACGCCAGGAAAGAGGGGAGGAAAGCTGCCCGTCCACACCTGACGCCAGTGTGGAAAGCGGTAGCGTCTGTGGGGCCCGAGGAGCTGCGGCAAGGATGGAAACGCAGCTAAGTTTGCGGACTGAGGAGTCGATGAGCGGTTTTGTAGAAAGCCCCGCGGACGGCACCGCTGCGGGGCTGAAACCAAAAACATCTACAGCCGCGTCATGCGGGGTCAGGAAAACGTGAAGGCCTCCCTGGACGGTGTTTATTCCAGATAAACACTGCATTTTACAGTTATTTAAAGAAATGGCTACTCCATGAAATGTCTTTAAACAGAAACTCACGCATAAAATAAGGTTGGTGAATATACTGTGACCAGAGGCTCCCAGGACCTAGCCCTGTATTTCCGCTTCCGGTGGCGACGCAGAGTTTGCGCATGTGCATCCTGTGTTCAGGGACCTGTGTAACAACGTGGCTGCCGGGAATGAGGAGGATTCCCTGCAGATAAACTTATGGAGACACAGATGCTTCAATGAAACATATAACATTGATACACAGTCTACAATACGTGTATTTCGATTTGAGTCAAGATTTGCCACCCTCCCACTGCCAGCCCCTGGCAGAGTCCTACCCTCTGGGTACACACAGACTTTGCCCCCTTGGTCGGGACCCCAAGCTTCTATGGCCACTGCCCGGGGCCACTCAGGTCCATGTGCTGCCCTCGCCCTCAGACAGGCAGAGGGAGATGGGGGTGTTCTATGGGGAGGGAGGGCTCACACGCTGTCCTGCTCTCTTCCCCAGCGTCGCCCCTTCCTGCCCACCGTGGTGGATGGAGTCGTGCTGCCCAAATCCCCTGAAGAAATTCTGGCTGAGAAGAGTTTCAACACTATCCCCTACATTGTCGGCTTCAACAAGCAAGAGTTTAGCTGGATCCTTCCATTGGTGAGCATGTGCCGCCTCTTAGGCAGATTCTGCGCTCTCCTGAGTCAGCCTTCCCAGCTCTGGCCGCAGACGCCCTTCCTTCTCCAAGCCTGCATCTGATATCCTTCTGAAGGGAGAAGTGCAGAACTCTCAGCACATAATGACTCTGTCCAAACCTCTGTATCCAGAGACTCCCTCGAGACCTAGCAGGTCTCCTAGCAGCTTAAGGTCAATGGCCCCTACAGTGGCCCCAGCCCCCTTACAATGCCTGCCTGAGAAAGCTCAACCTGCCAGGAGAACTTACTCTTTGCTGCAGCCAAAACCTTATGGCAGGCAGAGGCCCCTGAGCCCTTCCCAGAGCAGTTCCTTCAGAAAGCTTGAAATTATGAGGCCTTTCTCTGCCTTTCGGGATACAAATCTACCGCCCAAAGACCAAAGCTGTGATGGCAGTGTTTGGAACTTCCTATGTCATCTGCAACAGGTGTGGTATTTGAGAGGTCTGTGTCACCTACCCCAGACCTCTTGACTTCAACACTAGCCTGGTTACAGCTTCCCTCTGTGCCTCCCTGACCGTTGTGGGGATACTAGCCTGATGCACACACGCACACCACATCCCTGGACCCCCCAACACACATACACGCCCACATATGCTGCAAAAAATGACATCCTCTTTGCAATCCTTAAATTTCTGGATGTAAATCCATTTGATTCATTGATTTTCCCAATTCCTTAATGACCCATGCTTTTCAAGGTCCAAGAAAATTAGAGGACCTTCAGTCTGTGTTTGGTTTGTTGGTGAGTTTGGCTCTTATCAATTCCTGATGATTCACAAATTCTTAACCATTTTTTTAATAGCTGATGGGCTATCCACTTCCTGAAGACAAACTGGACCAGGAGACGGCCACATCACTATTTTGGAAGTCCTATCCTTTTACTGTAAGAGTCTAGGAATCCTGGGAATTGGCTGAGACCAAAGAGGGTCGGGGACTTGTCCCATATTGCAGATAAACTAAATTATAGAAGGGAGACTGGAGTTTGGGGGTCATGTCCCCATTTTTCTACCTTCTTCACTTGATCATCCTGCGGGTGGGTGGGGGGAGCTGCCCAGGGCGGGAGAGGTTCTCCATCAGTGCCAGCCTCGCCCACGGGCCACAGAAGCTGCACTGCTCACCAGGGGCACATGGGCACTGTCTTGGTCTATTTCAGGGCATCCCTGAGGAGCTGACTTCAGTAGCCATTGAGGAATATTTAGGAGGAACAGACGACCCTGTCAAAAAGAGAGACAGGTTCCTGGACTTGATGGGAGATGTCCTACTTGGTGTCCCATCTGTGATTGTGGCCCGACACCACAGAGGTGAGTCCCAGAGGCTAGACAGGAGAGGAACACTGACTCCAACTGTCCAGTGTCTGACCTGCCCACCTCCCAGTGTAGACAGATGTGGACACTGCTGAGGGTCAGGCCTCACAGGCAGGTTCCATATGGCTTGGGGTGTAATGTCCTATTTGGGTATTTGCCTGTAGCTGACTCTCAGAAAATGGTCCAAATGTGTGTAGTTTGTCAGGTGATTCCAGGAAGCAGCAGCAGGGAGGTGGGGGAGTGTCAGATGGAAGAGGTGGAAGACAACCGTGATGGATTGCCAAGCACGTGCCCGCTGTGCACAGCAGGAGCTAAGAGCTCTGGGAAACAAGCAGAGGACACAACTCAGTGTTGTCCTTCTCAGCAGTGGGAGCTGGGGTATTCATCCACTGGCTCTCAGTTGTCATTGGTTCAAGGCTGTTCTGTTGAGTTGTTAATTCCCTGGTACTGTGACCTGCTGCACACATGGGCAGAGTCGTCTCTGGTGCCCCAACAAAGGCCTCAGGCAAAGAGCTGGATGCTGGTGGTGGACGTCAGGCTGGCAGGCCCAGAACTAGGGCATGTGGGTGCTATGGGTGAGGCACCAACAGCATCTGCTACCAGGGCTTCCTTCTTGCAATGATGCTGGGATGTGGGGACAAATACTGGAAGACGAGTCTCAGACGGTTTCCAGGTCAGAGCTGGCTTCACTGGTTTCTGAACTAGTGGAGCTGGGGGATGAGTGGGAGAGAAGAACAGGATCAAGACGATTGTCCAGGACCAAAAAGGCCAAATTGAGGGACAGTAGCAGGTGTGGGTGGTCTGGAGAATGTCAGTGTCTGTGTCCTTGGGCTTTCTATCCTGGTGTGTGCTGGAATGGGTAAGCAGAGGGCCAGGGTGGGGTCCCCTCTGCACTTTCTGACACGGACCTGAGGCAGTGTGTGTTTGCTGTGAAGTTAGGGAGGCCCGAGCTCACCTGGAGAGGAGGGTTATCCCTGTGGAGCAGGGATTGGTGGCACCAGTGAGCCAATCAGTAGGAAGACTGACATCTCCTTGGGGCTTGGACAAGTGGGTTTGGTGGTGAGAGGAAAACAGAGCAGAGGAGAGGTCAGGAGAGAGGAAGGTCACCCTTCCACGGCCCCTTCTCATCTCCACCACCTTAGCAGGCTTAAAGCCTTAACACTCCCCAGGCAGAGCAGGAAGCAAGATATATGAGGAGACAGTGAAATATGAAGTGCTGAGTTTTGTGGTTTCCTGAGAAACAAGAGACACATTGTTCTGTCTGTGCCTATGTTTGTATTCAAATATCCTTATTTTCAGACAAGCAATTTGGATTTGCATCACTCTTCTCATAAATGGTGAAAAAAACACTGAAAATGATTAAAACTAGGATGAATAGAGGACACCTGTCAGGGTGTATATCTTCCCCAAGTGAATGAACAGTAGTCTGTGTGTTCTTAGTGAAATAGAATAAACTGCATGTATATAGATTTTCAAGTGTGTTTTTGAATCAGGGTGAAAACGGACCTAGTCCCCTACATTGAGTAATTTTAAATTGGTCAAACCAGGGTTTTAACATTAATTTATTCAGTATTCATTCATTCATTCGTTCACTCATTCAACAACTACTCTGCTCAAATCTCTATTGCATTGTAATTAGTTATACAGCCCTAAGCGAGTACACTGAGCTTTCCTGAAACTGTTTCTCTACTGTGCTGATCACCAGGCATTTCCTGCAGGGCCGGGGACCTTGACACCATGCAGGGGTGTGTCTGGTAACATGAACTGTGCATGAATCCATGTCTTCTCAGATTCCGGAGCCCCCACCTACATGTATGAGTTTCAGTATCGCCCGAGCTTCTCATCAGTCATGAAACCCAAGACGGTGAGAGGGGACCACGGGGATGAGCTCTTCTCTGTCTTCGGAGCTCCATTTTTAAAAGGTAAGGGCTCTTTGCTGGCTGTGAGCCTGGAGTTAGGAGATGTGTGCTCCATCTTGGTTTGGAGGCCTTGAGCAAGTTTCTCTTTCTCTCCTGGTCTTAGTTTCCCGATTCACTCTAACAGGGATGAATGACATTGTGCAGTCCCCACCCTTCCTTCTGCTCTAACACGCGTGAAGGAGGATGTGCACTCATGTGCCCTCAGTCAGGGTCACTCTCAGAACCCAGGCCTGTGCCATCAATAAGGCAGGTGGTGGGTCACCTGCAGGGCCCTGCTCCAGGGCCAGAATGTCACTACTCCATTTCCCTCTCACAAGAGCATATCAGAATGTGAGTGAAGTTCAGGTTAGAATTGGTGTTAACACTGAATTGGGTCTAATGTGTGATTGTCTGTTTTTATATCTGTCTCTTTATGAAGAACATACATCATTAACTTTAAAATATTTAATAACATGATATTTTAAAGAAAACCTTTCACCAATACCTTAACTCTCAGCAGAAACTATTGGCTGTGACCCACATGTTGGCTGTTCATGACATGCCTCTGGGCATATCTCGGTGGGGTGATACCTTAGGACCTTTGCAGCTCTGCTATTTTATGTAATATGAAAATGTGCTGTCGTAGGAGATTGAGAAAAGTCCCAAGAGCAGCAACCCTGGGAGGTGGGGTTGCTGGAGAGCAAAGCCTGGTGTGAGGCATTGTGACCCTGAGTGGCGAGGAGGCAGGTGGGGGCCACAGAGGACAAAGGCAGCCAGCCCATGGGTTGGCTGCAAGCCCATTACTGAGTTCTAGATCAGTCATTCCCCATCTTACAGTGCACAGGGATTAGCCAGGATCTTGTTGAAATGCAGACTGTGACTCTGGGTGTGTGGAGTATTCACCAAGACTCTGTTTGTAACAAGCTCCCAAGTGACGCTAACGCTGCTGAACCATGAATCAAGTTTGAGTAGCAAAAATTTTTTTCTTGTTCCCACAGAGGGTGCTTCAGACGAGGAGATCCAACTTAGCAAGACGGTGATGAAATTCTGGGCCAACTTTGCTCGGAATGGGTGAGGCTGGTGGCAAAGGTGGGGCAGGGCCGGTGGGGGCAGGTGGCTCTATGCGGAAGGACAGCTTCTACAGTTTGAGTGATCAAACTCCCCACCCTGTGAGCACAGTGCTCTGACAATGAGAGTTCTCTGAAAACAGACAGGCTGCCCCAGGATGGTGAGCTCCCCGTGCCTGGAGGAGTACAAGCCTCTTGTAAGACATGAGTCAGTAGATTCCTGCAAATCTCAGAGGGTTGCTGGGACCACACGGCAGCTTTAAGCAGTTTCTATTTGATTCTGTTCACAGGAACCCCAATGGGGAGGGACTGCCCCATTGGCCAGCATACGACCAGAAGGAAGGGTACCTGCAGATTGATGTCCCCATCCAGGCAGCCCAGAAGCCGAAGGAGAAGGAAGTGGCTTTCTGGACTAAGGTCCTGGCCAAGGAGAAGCCACCACAGACAGAACACACTGAGCTTTGAATGGGAGGCCCCGGCAGCCTCTGGAGCCTGGAGGAGCCAAGACAGGGCTATTCTACGGAAGGTGATCATGGGTCAGAGAGCATCTCATTGTGAGGGTTGGAGAATTGTCTTCTCTGGGTGGACACAGGGCAAGGAAGAGCAGTTTTTGCACTTGTAACTTCAACTGTTGTAATAAATGTTTTTGGAGCCTAAACCACTGTTTGTGTCTCTAGCTAGAGATTCGTGCTTCCTCCTCAGAGAGAGAGGATGGAGAGGGAGGCATCAACAGTAGGAAGGTGCCCCTGCTGGGGATGGCTTGGCCTCTAGACAAGCGGCACCCAGCAGGCTGGGCCCTGGGAGGTGCTAAGCAGACTCTGGACACGCCCCATGTCCCAGAGCCCCCACCAACTTCCAGTGGTAGGATTTGGGATGGCCAGAGTGCAGCATCCCTCCCTCGATTTGAAGGAACCTGGATGAGGGAAAGAGGGAGAGGTCTGTGGTGACCTGTGGCAGTGTTGTGTGGCCTATACTGACCCCTCCCCAGGTCTGTAGTACCTTCCTCCACGCACACAGCAGCCTCCCAAGTCCTGTGTGTGGCTGTCTCTCCCAGTGACTGGTCTGAAGCCCGTCTGCAGTCTGGACCCCTTCAAGTCCAGGCAGTGACCACCTTGAAATAAGACCCCGAAGTGCCATTCTAACGCTGTCTCTTTATGAATCTCTTGGGCGATTTCTGGATCCTTCTGGGATATAGAAAGCTCTAAGGAGTGTCACTCCTACCCTAATGGAAAGAAAAGCTGGATTTCCCATAAAATAGTAAGTATTCCTGCACCAAAACACTGAAATTGCAAGGCTAATGATTACCCTGGAATCTAAGGGAAGACAAGCACTTTGGAGGAGAGGTGAAATGCAGACACTGGCTCCCCTTCTGCCTAAAGACCAAAGATAGGGTCACTGTAATGCATAGAATTTCTCTAAAAATGTTAATCAAGTGCTAAAGGCAAGTGTGAACTAGTAGGAGAGTATGAAATCCCTGGGACCATCATAGACCCAACAGGGAGTTTACCCCATCACAGACTCTTCTCCAGGGTAGTGTGTCAGGTGCTCATGAGAAAGGTCGGGGGCAGGTAGTAAAACTGGGGAAAGCCTGCCTCCAGGGGTGCAGGCAGGAGCCCTGCTCAGATCCTTTTCCCTCAAGGAACAAAATCCTTCCACCCTTGGAAAAAGACCCCAAAACCTTGGCTCCCTCATGGCACTGGTGAAAACCTATTGTGACTCGGAAATAGGCAAAATTTAATACCCCCTGGTAGAGGGACAGGAAACCAACCTGGGTCCAGATCATTGGTCTTTTACTGCTAGGCAGGGACAAGGTTACTGAGAGCGCCCCATCTCCACGACTGAGGAACTCAGGGCCTCCCTAAGCTTGAGAAGCCCAGACCAAAATAAGAGAAACAACCCCTGGTTGTCACCAGAATTAGAATGTCCCAAGCAGCTCCCTCTCTACCGCTGGGGGAGGGAGAAAGTATGGAGATGCTCTCTGAAGAACAGGTGCTCAGGGCAGGCCTAAAGTTGAAGGTGAAACAAGACATTAAGAAAACCCTTCAGAAAACCGACCCTTACCCAGTAACACTAGAGCAAGCACAAACTCAAGGTAACCCTAGAAGAATTCGAAGTGGATGGCACACTGAAGATATACCATAGCAACATCAAAACCCAAGCCCTCCTCGCTTCCTCACTATATTGACTCAACTACACCTGCACACACACACACACACGCACACACACACAAGTGCACTATTAGTCTAGTGGAAGAAAAGGCATGTCCACTCCCAGTCATAAATACTATTACTTCAGTTTCTAGTCTCCTACCCATGATGTTAAGGATTGAGTGCAAAATGTCAAACATACAAAAAGCAAGAAAAAACCCATTAACATGAGACAAAGCAATTAACAGGACCAGATTCTGAGATAACCTAGGTGTTACAACTAACAGACTGGGAATTTAAAATAAACATGAACATATGGGTAATTTCAGCAGAGAGTTAGAAACTATAAAAAAGAAGCAAACGGAAAGGTTGGAAATGAAAAAAAAAGTAACAGAAATGAAGAATGCCTCTAATGGATTCAGCAGTGCACCTGACACAGCTGAAGAAGGAATGAGTGAACATGAAAATAAGTCAGTGTCAATTATCCAACTTAAATAAAAAGAGGAAAAGAAGTGAGGAAAAACACCAAACAGGACATAGCATTCAAGAGCTGGGATAGTATCTAATGGTTCAACATAGGTAGAATATGCTGAATAGCAGAAGGGAAAGAGAAAAATAACAGGCAGAAAAAAATATTTGATACGATAATGGCTGAGAATTTTCCAAAAATAACGAAAGACGTCACAGTATAGATCTGAGAATCTCACAGAACCCCATATAAGATTAAACAACAGCAATCAACATACATGTTTAGACAGATAAGGAGAAAAAATTGAAGGCAACCAGAGGGAAAAGACATTACATACAGAGAAAAAAAAGAAAAGAATTACAGCAAATTTCTTATTGTAAACTCTGCAAGCCAATAAATAAATATGTAAATCAATCAATCAATCAATAAGTAAATAAATATTTAAAGGGGAGGCATCTTTAAAGTGTCAAAAGAAAAAATTTCCAATTCAGACTGCTTTATCTAGAAAAAATATTTGTCAAAAATAGAGAAAAAGAACAACTTATTTATTATTAGCATCCCTGTGCTACAAGAAATATGAGAGGAAGTTCTTCATGCAAAATGTATCTGATACAAGAAAAAATCTGTATCTATGCCAAAGATGTGAACTCTACAGAAATCTTTGAAATAAAGGTAAGATATTTCTTTTGTGTATTAAATCATTGTCTATGACAAAAAAGTACCAAAGAACTGTGAGTTCAGAACAGGTATCCTCAAACTACGGCCTGTGGGCCACATGCCCCCCACCTAGGACATTTATCTGGCCAGCCAGGTGTTTTTTCCACAGCTGCCTGTCCTGCTTAGCAGCCGACTCGTCCCAGGCCCATGGTGCACATTCTCCAACAGTCTGAAGGACAGTGAACTGGCCCCCTGTTTAAAAAGTTTGAGGAGCCCTGATTTAGAGTATATGTAAGGGCAAAATAATGACAAAAATAGCACAAAAGATGGAAAGTAGGAATTTAAAGTACACTGTTGTAAGGTCGTTATACTTTGTGTGGATGGTATTATATTACTTGAAGGCATAGTGTGATTCATCATAGATGTATATTGTATATCCAGGACAACCTCTAAAGACTTTGAAAAACTTGCTGTTGCTCTAATACAGAAGCTCACTCTTGAATTCTTTCTCATGTGAAGCCAAGATCCCACTTGGCCTTCAGGCCTGCCCCCAGGTTTGGGTCAACTTTCTTGGATCAATAATGGTAACTAAAAGGTACTGAACACTTACTAGGTGTTTTCAGTATAAACTACTCTCCATATTAACTCAAATAACCTTCAGAGAAACCCTAGGAAGTGAATACTTATTATCAACCCCAGGAAAGTCCACACAAGACCCAAGAAAACTCAGCTAATAAGTGACACACAGGACCAGCTACACAATTTCCTATGCAAAATAACATTTGGGACGCCTAGTTTAAAAATTATAAAGAGTTTCAAGACAGCAATGGCACAGCATTAAAACAACATGTGACTACACAGGTCTCACACCCATGAAGACAGCCCTGGTGATAGAGCCGGGATATGAATCCGAGCAGTCTAGATCAAGAGCCTGAGTCCTTACATGCAAAGTGATCCTGCTTTGCTACCCAGGACATTCTTTAAAAGTCCTTATCTGGGTCTGCCCTGATCTCTAATTCAGTGACCTGAGTCTGGCCAAGGGCACCCACTTGGCTGATGGTTCTCTGCTGCCCCCTTGTGGGTGGTGCCCATACAGCCACCCCTGCTTCAGGAGCAGAGCCTGGACCACAACCCAGGACAAGGCTCCCAGCCAAGGTCCCCAGTAGTGGTGACTGTACGGTGCTGACACATCTAGGGACAGCGTGAAGGCTGGTGTGTTGGCTCTCTCAACCTCTAGAGTCCTAATCAGATGGGAGCCATATGGGAGGAGCCTTCTCAAATCTTATTCCTCCTTCCAACTGAGGTTAAATGCCTTCTAGCCCAGGCGGCCTCCCCAGCCTCCAAGACAAAACTAACCCAGTTCCTGGTCCCTCAGAAGTGCTCAGGAAATGCAAGGTACATGGCATTTCTCTGCAACGGGTCTAGCTTTTGCCTCTAGCCTGGGCTAATCTAAGATTCCCGAATAAAAAACAAACACAAAACTGTTTTCCCCCCTCTATGCTCACACTCACCTCAATACCTCACTTCTGCCACCAGACGTGGGAGTTTGTCCCCACACATCATGTCTCCACTGGACACCAAGTGAGTGTCCTGCACGCCCATTCCCTTCTGACACTATCTCCCTGCAGGTAGCATCAGATCCTACACGTTAAGGGTTCAGTCCCACAAGACTGCCCCCATGGCAGATGCCAGTGACAAGTCCCAGGTTGCAACTGTGAAGCCGGCTCACTGTGCACTGGTCAGTGAGTCTGGTGGGACAGAACAGCCCCCCACACAAGCTACATGAAGTGGGTTTGTGACTTACATAATAAATAGCAAGGGACAAATGAAGCCTACAATTCTCTGGAAGCTGGACCCCAACGCTTGGGAAAGCTGCCAGGGGTGGGGAAGTCTTATCTGCACATTTTCCGCTTTCACCACAGCTGAGGGACCCTGGAAAGCAGCCTGCCTGGGGTTTTATACCTTGGGGACTAAAGTGTTGAAGGGCATCCTGTTTCTAGTGGTGGGGGACAGAGATAGAGCCTGGACTGCAACAACCAGTCCCCCAATCTCAACATGTTGCATTCCCAGAGTATTCTATGTATGTTTTGGAGAACTGCAAGTGAGAACACAGGGAGAGCTTGCCTGCAGGAACCTGCACTTCTGACCAACAGGGTGTAAACTGAGGGTTCCTGTGATCACATTAAGTGTGTGATTTTTTTGTTAGAATAGCTCACAAAACTCAGGGAAATACTTATGCTTTTAGGTTTATTTTAAAGACTATCCCGAAGGACAGAGATGAACAGTCAGATAGAAACTATGCACAGGGCAAGGTATGGGGGATGGGGCCTTCTCTGGGGTGGACTGTGCTCCCAGCACCCCCATGTGTTCGGTAACCTGGTAACC